TGAGGACAGTGCTTCCCAGAGCAAAGACACAGAACGTCTTGCTCACACCCCTGCCTATATCTCTCCTTGAAGCTGGGGCCTATTTGCATAGACAGAGCCACAGGGACTTAGGGTGGAGGGGCCACCTCAGTGGGAGGTCACTGTCCCCAGGGCTTTCCTGGGGGAGGGTCAGGGAAAGGGCCCCATCCTGTAGAACAGTCGAGGGATCCTCTGGGCTATAAGAAGATGTGGATTCGAATATGCTTCAGGACCACAGTGCTCTTCCCAGGATCCTACGTGTGTGGCACCCTGCTAAATTATCTTTGGATGATTAGCTGAAAGCCATGGTTAGTACCTGCTTTGTTTCAGGATGATAAAGTACTCTTAGGCTGGACAAATGCTTCTTCTCCCGTAACTGACTAAACATACTAACAATCAAATCTAATGTAAAGTATGAATGACTTCGGACACAGGAATTAACAAAAAACAGTGTCCTTTACTTCTTTTCTTTTAGATATATTTTTCAACACTTGTTTATTTTAAAGTTCTAGATACAAATTTATATGAAAAATAGCTCAGATATAGACTCATCAGGGGGTGCATCTGATAAAGTACAAAAGCTTCTCATTACTTACTAACATGGAGTGAGGATACCAATCAAAGAAAACAACTTTGCAAAGAAATTGTTTGAATATTCCAACTGAAGAAAGCAGGAGGCCCAGATGGACTTCCCTCGTGCTCTCATGAGTGAAAATGTAAATCATTAAAGACTTCTTACACTTTCAACCATGATGGTGACTGCATTAATGCCAGTCTAATGAATTCAGAATTAAAGGAAACACACAAAGCCCTGTTATTCAACACATACCCTCTTTCTGTGTTTGCGAGCAGCCCTGGCACCACACCCTCTGCCATAGATCCCCCAGCTGACCCTCTGGCCTGAGCATCAGTGGTGAATCCCTGTGGAGAGGTGGTACTATCAGTGGGGAGCATCTCCTAGTCTGTGGTCCATGTGTGGGGCCAGAACTGGACACTGGAGTGAATCTCAGTGCTGCAGGGAACACACTGCCTTCAGCCACTCCTCTCTGGCTGCATGGTGGGCTGCCATCTGACTTCCCCACTGGCAATCAATCAGCAGTGGTTGAATCAGGTATCCACCATTGAAACTAACACAAGGGGTGGACCCACAACACAATCTCCTCTATTCCTACACCCCTTCCACGTTAAGATTTCTGTAGCTCCAGGTGTGCAAAACATATGTAATTGTCATGTCAAATGGGGATGGCATCATTCTTGTTGTGTAGTTTTTCTATAAGATTTTCTGATTGTAGAACTCTGTAAGCAATGACCAAAACTGAGGGGCAGACATTCAGCATGGAATTCCCCAAGGGCTGCTGGCTTGGTGGAGAAGTAGATCTGCCTCAAGGAACTCAGAGCTTTTTCTCTCTGGGAAGGTACACAGTCCACCAGGGTGCAGACACAGCCTCAATCTGTGGGCACCCATGGGTCCTTGGAAGAAGGAGCACAGGTACGTGTAGCCCCATCTTCTCCTCTGTGGCGGGCACGAATACCAGACCACTTGAGGGGTGTGTGGTGCTGCCCGGCTCACTGAGGCTTCTTGTGCAGAGACTGGCGGGCCAGGGAAGGGCTCCCATCTTTGCAGGAACAGCTGATGCTATCATCAGGGCAGGGCTGTGTTTCCATAGAGGAAAAAAAAAATAACTCTCAGTAAACCAGTGATGGTATCATTTGGAGCTGTCTGATTTTCACAATGTGTGCACAAGTGCAAACCTAGATGTGTATTGGTTGAAGGCTGACTAATATATTGTTGTGTGAGCACAGCAATGACAGAATGCATGTGTGTATAGTCCTGTGATATTAAATTAATAGCCATACACCATGTTTCTCAAAACCAAAAATTAAAACTACTTCTGATTCTCTATTCCATCAATTCCTCCTCTCATTCTTCGGAATCTCCATTCATCATTACAAAATGTAGTCTACATTTTATTTCAAAATGCATGTCAGTCCTGTATATCTACGTGATCTTTCCCCACTTTGCCTAAACAATCTTCACAGTACATCGCTCCACAGTGGGAGCATCTCATGGCATCTTCATCATGAGACTGGGATGAAACGGACCTGACATCACCTCCCATCAGGTTCAGTCCCACACTCGAGTGTTCTCGCCTTTCCTGCACTGATGGGCACTCAGCTCCATGGCAGCTGGCTGCAGCGACAGTGGGTGGATTTCCTCCTCCACGTGGGGCAGGTGCGGGTGCAGATCTGGTTGTGAGGACACTAACCTCATTCATGAGATTGGCATCTCCTAACCTAATAAACCCTCAAACGCCCCACTTCCTAATACCATCACCTTGGGGAGTAGGACTTCAAAATATTAATTTTGGGAATACAGAAACATTCCTTCCATAGCTCCAGACAAGTTATGTGCAATTATAAGGATGAGAATACCATGGAATACATATTTGCATGCCAAAAGGAGAAATAGAAAAGAAGGAAGGGGTGATGGGTCCTAGCAAGTCCAAAATGCAGCAAAGCAAATTCTCTTAGATCTTAAGGCTGAAGCATAATCTTCCACTGTTCAGTTGTCCACCTTCCTGACCCACGGGGGCAACAGAATCCCCTCCATGACTTTAGGCAGAGGCACCAGCCCTGAGCCACTGCCGGGCCGCATCCATCTCCTCCAGGCCCAGGCATCTCCACACACAAAGCTAGCTTGGTGTTCCTACCCCAAGACCTTGCTTAGATCCTGACCCCATGGTTTCAGACGGAGGATGTCTAGCCTGTTGGAGCCTGTGAAAACCAAGATGGCTGCCTTATGTCTCTGAGTTGATTTCAAGTTCAATTTTCTCTCCTCGGGAAGAGCAGGGCCTGTGTGCACACAAACGGTTCTGGTACAGCCCTGTTAAATCCACAGACTCTGACGGTGGTTATTGGTTTTGTCCCATCCACATTCCCGTGTCTCCTCCCATATAATACCATCAGCGCTTTATCAGTAATAGTCCAGTTGCACCTTTGCTGCTCCCTTTAGAACACACTTTCCTGTTTTTGAAATATGGATGGGCTGAGGACTTTTTTAATCTTCACGTTTCTGATACTTTTGCTTTAAAATTTCTTATTCTAACCTCTCTTTTACACTGCAAGGGAAGCAAGCCACACCTTTGACACGTTGCTTAGAATTATTCTCTCCTAATTGCCCAAGTTCATCATTCACAAGTTCTAACTTCCACTAAATACTACCACCCAGTTCAGCAAAGTTCTTTGCCACTGTGTAGCAATGAACACCTTTCCTTCGTTTCTACTAACGTGGTACTCACTTCTGTCCCAGGTCGTACCGGAAACACCCACACATCCAGACTACCCATGAACTACAAAACTTTCCAGCCATTTACATGTTACCCAGCCCCAAGCGGCTTCCATAATATTTACGTGCATGTAACATCAGAATCCCACTTATTAGTATCAAACTAATATCAAATTATTTTTTACTTGTTTAAGTTGCAACCATCAGTTTTTAATTTGTGACCTTTCTATAAATTGGACGTAGTTAAATAATTCTTTGAATGTCTTTGTTAGTGCTGTGTTCTTTATTCCGTTTCAATCTTTGCTTTGTTTCAAAAAAGTAAATTTTGGTCTTAATTCTTTTATTGATCCAATAATCATTCAGGAGAAAGTTGTTCAAATTCCATGCATTTTTTATATCTGAAGTTCCCATTGGCATTGAACTGTAGTTGTATTCCACTGTGGTCTTAGAAGATATTTGATATAATTTTGTTTAAAAGAAGTTCAGGCTGGTCGTGACTTACATATGATCTATGTTGGAAAATACTCCATGTGCTGGTGAGAAGAATATTCCGCGTGCTGATGAGATGTGTATTCTGCAGTTGTTGAGTAGAATGTTTTATACATATCTCTTAGGCCCATGTTTTTTTTCTAAAGATAAAGGTAGGTTTAAGGTATTTATTAAATTTTCTGTCTATCTAAATGATCTGCGCAGTGTTGTGAGGGAAGTGTTGAAGTCCCCACTGTGACTGGGCAGCTGCCTCTCTCTTTCTTCAGACGTGGCGGGTCCTGCTGTGTGCGTCAGGCTATTCCAGTGACGGACCCTTTCCCATGGGATGTGCTTTTCAATTCAGTGATCTTATTCTACAATGGAGCAAAGTGTTCTCACGGTGAGGAGCATGTCTGTTGATGTTGAAATGGTGATGATGATAGTGACGGAAGTCCCAGGAAAATGACCAAGTTTTAATGAACTGATTGTATAATTATCTTTTTTTTAATTTTTTATTTTATTTTTTTATTTCAGCATGTTATGGGGGTACAGATGATTAGGTTACGTATGATGCCCTTACCCTCCCTCCCCCCCAAGTCCGAGCTTCAAGTGTGTCCATTCCCCCGGAGGTACGCATCTCATTCATTGTTTGT